TATTATTATTATTATTATTATTATTATTATTATTATTATTATTATTATTATTATTTCTTAATATATTGTACTGTATGCCCATGGTCCAGAATTACCTGCCCCCTTACTTATTATCTTATTATTTCATTTCAGAGTGCATTTCATCACTGTGTTTAATTGAGTATGAATATTTACATTTTTGTCTCTCTCTAAAAGAAAGGGCAATTTAAATGGGAATTCTTCAAATCTTTAAATTTTTATTTTCCAGCAGGGAATTTTGGGGGGGAAATCTTTAACTTCAGTCCCAAAATTTTAACATAATAGCAACACACAAACACACGAAGCAACATGAAATCATGTACTGTAAATAGTAGGCAGATACAAAAATAAAGAATGACTTATTTCATTTTATTAAAATGTATGAATTAACATGTAAAATTCAGACATTGTAATGAGGGATAAAATGAAAAATATATTAGGAACTTTTGGAATCTACAATTTGCATATTTAATACAGTATATATAATATAGTCATCATCACTAGAAAGGTGAATTATGGGCCTCTCAAGTGAATACACCGGTAAAAGTGTAAATAGAGCACAAGTTGAGCCCTTTAATTTAGATACTGTTTTTGCTGGTTCAAGCCTGCCTTATGTCATTACCTCCAGCCGTGTGACATTAAACCCTGTGACTTGCTGTGTTGCCTGTGAAAGCTGAACCGAGCCACCATTTAGTACAAACTCAGCTGTAATCAGAGTGTGAAAATGGCAGATAGTTCAACAGTGAGTTTCTCATAGAATATGCAGTACTTCCTTTCTTTATCTTTCACTTTTTAAGTAGTAAAATGTAGTTATAAGTCAAGTTGCTTGACAATTGCCAATCAAAACTGAGGAATACAAAAAAGACTATTTCAAAATAACAAATGCACTAGATGTGTTTGCTGTCCTTTTATTTTAAAAGGACAGTTTACATTCTTATGTACACTCTCATGTAAGTGTTGATATGGTTTTCCACCTAACTGTAAACCCTAGGCAGGAAACAATGGATATTCAGAATTATTGCACTATTCATCAGATCTGAAAATTAAATAAGTCCCATCTTACAAATGCACATAATCTGAATGCTTTCTTGGTTGCTCAAGGCATGGTGGCATGAGAAGGTAAGGATATATTGTGTATGATTTAGTAAGCAGTAGACTTAGTAATCCAGCTCTTTGGAGGCTGTTATCCCAATTCAAAGCGGACCATTTGTCTGATAAGTGGACATGTGCCTGTGTTTCATCAACACACACACTATGAAGCTCTCTTGAAAGTCCTTGGGCACAGAATACTTGATTAATCTATTACTAAGCCTGTCATCTGAGTGATGCAAGAGTATGTAAGTATTCACTTTAACAGCTAAGTGTTTAGTTTAATTTGTGCAACTTATCCAGGAATTTGTCAATAGCCTTAGAATGAAAATGGATCTTGCACTGCCAGGGAGGGTTGAGCCTGCCTTCCACTTGGCTGCCATAAACGATTTAGATAATGTTTAAAGTTACAGTACTAAATCTTTTTTGACATAACATTTAAGTGAAGAATATTTTTCAGGTTTGCAAATAATTAATAAACAGAAGGCAGTGAGATTAGCCTCCTACTTTTAAAATGACAAGTAGACAAAATGGCAACAGAAAATACTGCAAGGGATAATAAAAATACTAAATTATGTTTAGAAGCAATATATAGCTTACTGTCACATAAGAATTAAAATATGACTCACAAATACTGCACAAACTGATGGAACTCACTTCTGTGGAGCACTTAAATGTTGTTTTTAATTATTACTCTGACATATTCAGAATCAGTGTGTCTTCAAAGAAGTTGACTAAAGTTTTATTTTGGTAGATTTGTTAATTTGTTAATTTCCTGGTCAGGGAATGACTAACCCAATCCAGTTTTTTATATAATTTGTTTATTCTATTTTGTGGTAACCTATCTACTATAGTACATAAATCTTGGCAGCAGATATCAAACAGAACTATTGATGGTGAACATTAGTATGTTAAACTTTTCATGTACTGTTTTTTATAGCTTAAATGTAAGCAGATATCAAGCTAAATGACACACAATTGGCAAGAATTACATTATATTAAATCAGGTGTTAAGTGATTACATAATAGTACTGTAGAATTATACTGTACATCTTGCAAAAATGTAAGTTAGAGTTCTCTCTAAGTTATACAGTATTTACAGTATGTCTGTTGATATGGCCATGTGAAGGGTATTGTGATACAACAAAGGTATTCAAAATCAATCATCCTAAACTAGGGCATAATGTAGGTCCACACAGCCATCTGCTTTCTCTGCTGACCATCATGTTAGTTGTTATTGTCTTCTTGACAGATTATTCATGAAGGGAAACATTTCCAAGAAAATGAAGTGCCAGTTTGCATAAATGTGGTAAATGTCACTAAAGATCGTTCTATTGAATTATGAAGAAAAAAAGTGCCTTTAACCTACGATGCATTTGTTTTCCCACAAATAATAAGCTTTTACCAGTACAATTATTTTTCAACAGAAGCATTTGTAGTCATGTTTGGAAACATGAACTCTATTGATTTTTAACCATATTTTCAATGTTTAAACTGAAATTAAAGCAAGACCATACAGTTTAAGAGTAATGAAAATAAGTGTCAGGAAAATTTGGTGAACACATTTTTTATTGTCTTGATATAACCCAGTCACAGCATGACCAATTTATTAAGATCATAATAATACATAGAACACTAACTTAAAACGGATTTTAAGTTCAATACAATATTTTCATATTGTATTGAATGATGGCCATAAAAGTAATATAGTGATGTCTGTGTTATTTGGCTCTCTGAATAAGATTATTTTACCATATGTCAGGTGATTTTAGTTTAACTCTTCTTTTGCTGTTTTTAATACCAATCTAATTATGGAAAATACCATCCCAAGTGGCAACCTCCAGTACACAGAGTTATTTTGGTACTCACATTATTTGTATGAACTATATAAAACTATAATAGTTATAGGAAATGTAAAAGTCTAAAAGACATATTTTTTGGCTTTTCTATTTTGAATTCAAGGAAGGACAACATTTTATTGTGCACCTTACGTTTATTCACACTTCTGTACATGTTGTTACAGGTACATATCTTTAAATTCTGTAAGATTTGCAGGGTGGTTATGTGAAATATTATTAATATTCACTTTTCAAGTGCGTTATTTCAAAGTTCTGCAATGCTGCAACCAAGAGTTCTCAAGTAACACCTACTGTAATTGTGAATATCTGAATAGTCATATTTTTGGTTGTCCATTGTAATACCTGTAAACCTTTCAGGTATCCCCCAAAAATTACAGGCATTACACTATGGAGAATATATTTGAACCATGTTATACATACTGTAGGGGCTAGGGACCTGAAGTGTTGGAACTCAACGAAATGGTATACAGTATATAGAATTATTTTTCACCAAAGTAACAATATAAATATTGAGGTTTCTAGACCATAAGAGTTTAATTAAACTCTAATAAATTGCCCTTGTGACTTAAAGTGGCAGGCTCTTGCCATAGGAATTAATGAAATAGAGTCATGTTAGGGACTATAAGTTAGATTGACTGTATGTTTCACTTGCAGCTAAAATTCAGAAGATCCCACCGTAAGTTCTGGTTATGTTCCTAAATAATGCAACTAAAAGCAAAATGGTTTAGGGGAATTAATATCCCTCTAGGAATTAAGTACATGCCCAGCAAATAGTTTAAACACTTGTATGTATATTTAAAGTACTGTACCTATAACCTATGAAAATAAATAGAAATGGATGGATAGCCTCACCCACTCTTTTCAAAACAAAATGTCCACTGCTTTAGTGAAGATTTTTTTCCACACACTGTATTTAAAGTTAGTGATCACACTTTGATACATTGGCTGCATCAGCAAAACATTACATGGTAATAATAACTGAGTTTCAGTGTTGGAACTTAACACCATTGTCTACAAGAAAAAGTCTGAAAAATGAAGAAAAATGTTAGATTTTGCTTTTCCCAATATTCTTTAGATCCAAAACAAATTCAATGAAAAAGTGTGGGGACTTTTTTCATCAAATTCCTAAATGACGTATAGTGCAGCAATTTGTATTGCAGACTAGCAGCACTGACCAATAAATACCAGATTATCCCATGTAAGGTTTTACTTTTTTCTTTTGTATACCCCGATATCTTGAAAACTGTCAAGTTGTAGTGTATTGGCTAACCTATATTTCCTATTCTGGGGGTACCAGCACCACACTTACAGAGCATGTCTGTGAACATGCTAAAATAATCAGATTTCTTGAAGTCACTGAATATAACAACATTTCTCTCATTGACGTATACATGTATCCATCTAGAATGAGCCACGTGTCAGCCGGTATACAGTGGAAGGCACCTTTTACCATGGACAACAGTGAATCATTTTATATTTTCTAATAATCTGATGCAGGATTGCACAACTCTGGTAAACTGCCAAGTGACTCAGTGAATCCTTAAAGTACCACAGCTGCTTTTGATTGTCAGACAAATTGGTGCAGTATTACATGTTTATTAAACCATTAGTGCTTTCCTGTACAAATCATACCGTGTGCATACTTGTGGCAAACAATTTCATTAAATACAATGATTACATTAATGAGACAGGATATTGTTAACACATTTGTTAGATTTGTTAAAACTCCAAATGAGATATGTCACAATATTGAATAACATGAAAAGAATTATCATGATGTTAATTACATACAGTATACAGTGCCTTGCGAAAGTATTCGGCCCCCTTGAACTTTTCAACCTTTTGCCACATTTCAGGCTTCAAACATAAAGATATAAATTTTTT